CCCGCATAGTTTTGTTTTTGCTTTGTGTGCACCATATCTCAAATATCCCATGATGGGGCTCAGTACACCCAGCCCGTTTGTTTGTTCCCTCTGACCTCATAGGTAGCCATTCTGGTTATCATAATTAATTTTGCATGCTATGCTGTTAACTCTTTGTCTCTAATAAAAAGAAATTTCTTCTTTTTTGGCAACTTGAAAAAAGAGGGATGAAAAATGTAGGGGGTAAAAATTGCTTGCGTTTGTTAGTTAGAGCCTGCAGAATATGCTATCTGTGCACTTTGAGCAATTTAGTCATAAATCTATCACATGTAAGTAGAAAGTAAACATTCTCTCTCTGAGGTTTTGGTATTAAAATGCCTTGAAGCAAAGAAGAAAAAGGAAAGTAATGATCGATAAGACTCCGAAATAATCCTCAAAGAACAAGCTTCCTCAAACAAGAGAGTTTGCTCAGAAAGAAAAGATAATGCCCCCTTTTTAAAAATAATGAATGAGTTCTCTGACTTTGCTTAGCTTTCTTAGCTTCTAATGACGTCATTTTTGTATGTGACACTATCACTTCACAGAGACAAAGAGTTGAACGCCATGTCTTGTCTGTTTTTTTACAGTAACTGCTTGATGCATGCTTGTTGCTTGTGCTACCCACACCTTAATACATCATCTATTGTTGCAATAATAATTCCTTGTGGTTTTTTTAATACTCATTGCCCTGGCTTGTTGCGGCACCCGTGTGGATGTTTGCATTTTTGTGGTGTGAGACGCTTTGTAGGACATTTCATGTGTGGTTGGTTGGCGGGTGCTCTGGTTTGTTTTGCTCCTTCTTTCCTATCAAGCATCTATCGTCCTTATCTCCCCTCCTTCTTTTTTGTGTTTGTTACTCTCTTGTAACACCTCTAATCTTTGGCACTTATATGACCTTATTGTGTTGCAGGTGCCGTAAAACGCTAAAACTAAAACTAAGACATTTGGTGTGTGATTGTTGACAGCATGTGAGGGTGTCGCACTGGCTTCAGTGCTGCGGAAAGGTCTTTGTTTTGGAGGGGTTTTTAAACTTTTCAGAGGAATATCTGTTAAGGGTTTTGGAGAGGGGGGGTTTTGTGTTTTTTGGTTGTTGTTTTTCGGGGGGAAGGGGGGGGAGGGTGTTTGAAGGTTGGTTAGGGAAGAAAAGAAGAAAAGAATGCGCCCAGGTCTAATGTGTGTCTCACATCTGATATTTTTTTGGCTAATTGATATAGCCTTCTTTGTAGTTTAAGTATCCGCTGAACAATATGGGGGTTTTTTTGTCCTTCGGCTTAGTTACTCGTACATGTTGAAAAAGGCAGAGGACTTCAGCAAGGTTAAAGAAATAATAAAAATAAATTACACTTTTATTTGTCCCGGAAGGGTACTTTGGTTTACAATGGCAAACATACATATATACATACATAAATATACATAATTATAAATACGTACATCCATAAATACATGCATAAATACACAATATTACACAAATACAGAACAGTTTACAACTATGCCATTGTCGGTCACCACTGTGCAGCACCCTGTATTTTGAGCGAGGGTTGTCGTGCCTTGCTCAAGGACACACCCCAGTGACCACCCATCTGATCCCCGTGTCACCGACACTTGCTTGACATTACTTGAGTCTAAACTCACTACTCACTTAGCCGCTGGAGCCATGGTTGTCCATTATTACTATTATTACAGAACCGGAAACAGGCGAATGTAGTGGGGAGGCCCATATTCTATTCCCGATGTAAGAAAATTTTTATCCAGTACCTCAGTTGTTGTTTTTTTCTAGATGTAGCATGGTTGAAGCCTGCCTCCTAAATGATCTAAATTGTGTCTTTGGAGACATGAAAATACACCTACTTAAAAAAGAAAAAGAATTGAGTGTTGTCCATGGTGCGCCCCACATCGTTCGAAGTGTTTTTCTGTCAGAATGGAGAAAGAAGACAGTGGAGGTTGGTTAGTGTGAACCAGTACTTCTTGGAATTTCAAGTGAACTTTTCAATGAAAGTAAATGTCGTCCCTCCACTCTTAAACTCTTAAGGTAACACGTTAAAAATTAAAGCGTCTTTCGGGCATGACGTCGTGATGGTGGGGGGTTGGCGGGTGCTCTCTTGTGATTTGCTTCTTCTTTCCTAACAAACACCTATTGTCTTTATCTCCCCTCCATCTTTTTTGTGTTTGTTACTCTCTTGAGACACCTTTAATCTTCGGCACTTATATGAGCTTATTGTGTTGCAAGTGCCGCAAAACACTTACTAAAGCAAAAAACATCATGATGACCCATATTAAGTTGCCTCATGGAGAGTGGGCACCCAGTGTGTGCGTGCGAGATCAAGTAAGTAAGTCCAAAATGGGGAGCTAAAGCTTACTTTTACCAACGTTTCTTGCTGTAGAACCTTTGGTCATGTATGATCCTCGCTTTCTTTGTGTCGTGATACATATAATATATTCAGAGCAATCGCTTGTACCTTGGCAAATAACAAAAAAGTGTTGCAAATATGTGATTAATGCTTCTGTTAACTTCGTAGCGAGCTGAGAATGGTTACAATAATTGGGTCAATAGAGATGAATGTTCTGTTGTCGCTGCTTCTGCTTTTAATAGCATGTATCGCACTGTCATACAAGAGAAAAGGAGTCTTTAATCGAGATCTTGAGAATGCTGTACAGTCACACTTTCTTGCTTTAGGCATAATTTCTATCTCTCAAAGTAGAAGCACGGTAGTGGGATGACTTCCTGAGCCCAAAGCTTTAACCCGCTCATTTTCAAATTTGATTTAGTCTATTTTGTATCAGCTTTTTGGTCTTAGGAGTTACACATTCTCATTATATCTTTTTCGAGGTTGTTTTTTTTTTACTTTTTCGTAGAAATACGGATGAACATTTTGTCGATAGGGGAGTAAGCATACCTGCAATATTTTTTTTTTAATGAATCAATGCAGCAAGGTGATACATTGTTAGACACTAAAACTGATGTTGAAAAGGGTAAGCTGGGGAAGTTGGATGTAAAAAAAGGTAAAAAGTAAAGTTGGAAGCTTTTAAATCATTTGATATTGTTCTTCAAAGACAATTTAAGAAAAAGTATTTCACATGTCTTCGTGCAGTTCTTGAGGAATTATAGAAGCGAGTCCCAACATTTTGTGTAGATCTCTGTTTCTAGATAAATTATCATCTTTCTTGCTGTGGAACTTTGTGATTTCACTCTAAAGAATCTTAAAGCATCTTGTCGAGATGTGTCCCTCTATGCAAAATCACCCCCCCCCCCATGGCATGGTGGCAGGCTAGAGAATCTCTTATCTCACGTATCTCCATGGGTCGGATCTGACGTGCGGGCTGTATTTTGGTGACCCCTTGTGTTGTACCTAGGTCGAACTAATGGTGATTAGAATCTGGTAGATGTGGTTCTGGTTATAACGCATCGGGCAGCTAGTTCAAATGCCTCTTTCCAAACAGAATAATGTCTGATTTTAATCACAAATCTGGATCATTATAATAACATCAAATCATAACAAATTATAATTGGAAAGGTTAAATTCAAACGAGAACAAGTCATGTGCAAAAAACGTACTGTTGGAAGTGTAATTTTAGATATTTCCGCCCCCATCCCACAATTTAACCCTATCCGTACGCCCTGGGGTCATTTTGTACCCCCGGGGTTGTATTCTTCACATTTAGAATACTTCTAGTGCGAGGATCTCTTTGAAACTTTCAGTATTTCTCTTAAAATCATTTTGACAGACTGCTATGCAAAGCGTACCGATCGGATTAACAAGTACATTTCCTCTTTGGAAAGTGGTGGCACAGAATTCCCCACGTCATATGGATAAGATGGTAATGCACGACGTACGGATAGGGTTAAGAAAAGTCTGTGGTTCTGTTTATGTTACCATTGCCTTTTTGCAGAGATTGCAATATTAGCGAGGGAAAAAAACTAGTTTGGACCTGGGTTCGTTTGATTCTTCTAGAGGACATTGTATCATCTTTTTAAAAATTCTGTTTGTATTTTAAGGTACTGTTAGGAAAGAGATAGGTGTTGCTGGTGATGCAACTTTAGATGTGTTTATATGTGTATGGTGGGGTGGGGGTGGGACGGTTGCGATGTTCTTTTAAGTATATTTGTTTGTTTTGGGGGGGGGGCGATAAGTTGTTGGGGGTTTTTTTTCGGATCGGGGGGTGGGGGGGGGTATTGTCAAGTTTTCCAAAATAAAATATTAGTGTATTATAATACGTACTTACAGGTTCAAGTTTAGTTTGTAAACTTTACCAAAGTGTGGCCACATTCCTATATAATTTTTATAATTTGTGGTTGGCACTGCACAGTCTGTCCCCTATAACCCCACCCTCTCTCACCTTTGCTCACCCTCGCTCCGCACCCTTGCCCACCTTCAGACACCCTCTCTCTCACTTTTGCTCACCCTCATCCTCCTTCACCCACCCTCACCTACCCTCGCCCACCATTGCGCACTCTCGTACACTCTCATCTTTAGGCCGTCTGTCTTAAAAATGAAACAGGTTTAGAGGAACAACATTTGGTACAAAGCACCTTTCAGTTCCAAATTTGGACACGAATGTGTATTAAATTGTCTGTGTATATATATATATATATATATTATATATATAAAAGGTCAGAAAAAAAATGGTTGACACCCGATCATAATTAAGTAATGTTTTCTCTTTATCTTTGTTAATCAATGGACAATTTTAGCTAGTTTACAGTGTCTGCTTCTCATGTGTCACACTTGAAACAATGGGATAGAGGGGAAAAGCACGGTAATGACTCCGTTACGGGTCAGACATTTATAAGACAACATTAATTATTATTACGTTTACTTACCGACTGTTAGAAAATGGGACTGTGCTGTAAGTACACCGCTCGTGTTTAGTTGTCATGCCCTGGTAAGGCAGAAAAAGGCACTTCATCCCGGGAAAAGTAACTTTCGATACGATGCTACCATCCATTTGGGAAAAATACTGACAGGAAAAGACATAATAAATAGAGTTTACCTAAGTTTCCCAATCTGAACGTCCATTTCTAGGGGAATCAAAAAGTTACTCTTTAAAACGGGCTGTTTTATTTTGTAAATGGACGGCCTATACCCTTATACAACCTCACTTACTTCCACCAGCCATCGTCTACTTTCACCCACCATCACCAACTTTCACCCCCCTCACATATTCTCACTTACTTCCACCACCATCACCAACTTCCACCATTCTCACATATTCTCACTTATTTTCACTGCCCTCACATATTCTCACATACCCTCACCTACCCTGACTCACCATCACTTAGTTTCCCCCACCCTCACACACCCTCATAACACATATTCTAGAGCTCAGAAGGTGCGCGCCGAACGCCTGGAGGAGGATATATCCCGTCTGAACCAACGGCTGGCTGAGCTGGAGCGCGGCAGCATTGAGATGACCAGTCACATGACCACCAGCTCTGTCCGGCTGGAGGCGGTGGGCCAGGAGAAGACAACCCTTCAGTTGGAGAGTCAGAAGCTCAGGACGTGAGTGGTTGCCGAGGTTCTGCATGGTGGTACCGGTCAAGATATGGGTGATGGTTGTAGTTCTGGTCGTACCGGCCAAGATGTGGGTGGTGGTCATAGTTCTGGTTTTTCCAGTCAAGGTGTAGGTGGTACCCGTCTGCTGGGACTTTTCAGTAACCCACTTTCAGCACTTTTTAAGGACCCCCGGGCAAGTGTTGAGTTCTTGCGTGCTGTCGGCATCGGTGACTGTTTATGACGCCACAGCGCCAGAAGAAAGAGAGAGAGAGAGAGAGAGGTGGGTGGTGGTCATTGTTTTGATCTTACCGGTTAAGTTGCGGTTGGTCAAGGATCTGGCCTTACTGGCCTGGGATGTCATTGGTTACATAGTCAGGTCTTTACCGTCTTAGCGTCCACACAGTGAGCGGTGGTCATAGTTCTAGTCCTACTTGCCACTGATTGTGTTACTTTACTTTTACTTTTTTCATCTTCTGTTACCGTTAAGCGTCGAGACGCAATGCAGTTTTCTGTTGTAGGCCATTTCTGCAGCTCTTGTTGTTGAGATGTTGTAGTTTCTAGAGGTTTCCTTGACTCCCCG